GTATCACTTGTATATCAGATTAAAGTAACACAACTCAAGCACAGAAACTGCAATGATAACAAAGCTCAGAGGTTCAACTCTCTGTGCTGTTACTTCCAAACCTCACGTGCATCCCAAGACATAGAGAAGTGTACTTCCAAACCATCACAGATTACTTCTCTCTCTCTCTCTCTCTCTCTCTCTCACACACACACACACACACACACACACACCACTCACATCATCACTTGGTGATAGCTTTAGTAGTTGCGTTATAACAGCTGAAAAGGAGAATGCTGTGCATGCTCGCTCTTGACGCGTGCGCTACCCAGCACTCGGTGTGTGTGTGTGTGTGTGTGTGTGTGTGTGTAGAGGAGAGAAGCGCGCGCTCACCCAGGATCTGGTCCCCGCTCTTCGTCTGCTGTAGATGATGCTTGCTCTCATTATCGGCGGTGACCTGCGCGAGCTCTCCGCCGCCGTCCTCCGCGCTGCGCACCATCTTCAAGATCCGCGCGAACAGGCTGTGGTAGCTCCGCGTGCTGTCCGCGTCCGCCCACGCGCTCGCGTTCGCGCTCTCGCTCTCGCCACCACGCGCGGCGGCGCACATGCACAGCGCGAGCCCCATGACGACGAGCACAACTCGGAGCGCGCGCATCGTTAGAGGACGCAAAGCGGTGCACCGAGGAGCACGCACAGTTCCGAGCTGCGACAGAGAACAAGCAGGTTTTAGTCTGTCGGAAAGCCATTTCCACCCGTTAGAAGAGAAAAGGAAAAGTGTTTCACTGACTTTTTCTTTATTTATGCCCTCAGCAGTAGTTTGCAATTCTGACTCGTCTCAAAATTCTGACTTATCTCGAAAAAGTTACTTATTATCTCAGTATGCTGGCTCATCTCAAACGTTATATGAGATGTTATATTCTGACTTACTATCTCAAAATTCATACTTATCTCAAAGTTCTGACTTACTATCTCAGAATTCATACTTATCTCAAAGTTCTGCCTTACTATCTCAGAATTCATAGTTATCTCAAAGTTCTGACTTACTATCTCAAAATTCATACTTATCTCTAAGTTCTGACTTACTATCTCAGAATTCATACTTATCTCAAAGTTCTGACTTACTATCTCAGAATTCATACTTATCTCTAAGTTCTGACTTATACCAAACTTTTGACTTATCTCAACATTCTGACTTATTCTTCTCAAATTTTTTCCTTATTCATTGAAAAATGACTTACTATCCAAAACATTTGACTTATTATCTCAAAATTCAGACTTATCTCAAACTTCTGACTTTTGGGCTTCCATATTAGTCAGATGTAATATAGTGAGCAAAAAAATAATGTATGCAGATTATAAACATGCAAAACTGACTACTTTAAACATTTTATTTTATATTTAAATTTATTTTAGAATTACAAATTTGAACTTCTTTACACATTGTCTTCTCATAAAGAATGCATTTTTCATGATTATGCAGAAATATAATAAAAGAGCACAGTTGTGCAGTCGGCTTGCTGTTGACTTGTGCACCAGTCATGCACATCTTGCGTCTCAGAGCAAAGAAGATGAAAAAGCGGTAACAAACCAACCAAAACAAACCAGTTGTAACTTACCAGTGTTCTCCTGCGGGTTAACCTCAGAGTGCGAAAAGAAAATCACTTTCTGCCAGCTCGGTGTTTCAGTGTTAAAGCTGCTTAAGAGCGCTCCGCTTGGGTCTGTTGGTCAGCGCGCGCCGGCGGCCGAGTGTGCTGCGTCCATGCGCGGCGCGTTATTATAGGCGCGCGTGGGAATTGCGGGGTGGCCACTCTCCTCCGCACACACTCATTCGTGCACACGCGTGGGGAATTCATCAGAAACAAGTTGCCAGCGTCGCATGTTTACATTCCCGTCCGTCGCCTGCCATGGAACGGTTTCCTTTCTCACGTCGTTACACGAGAGCAGCGTTTACCGGGAACTGTTCCGTACCCGGAGTTCCTTCTGACTCAAAAGCAGGAATAGGCAGTTTTCCAACACGGTCATTAATCGGCTCTATGTCCACTCTGATGTCTCCAGTTACAGATCATCCATGCCTGGAAGTGATGTGACCCGTATTGCTGATGTAATTCATTAATGATGTAGTTATTGGTGAGGACCGAGAAACTCTCCAAACAGCCTGCAGAGAGACTGAGCACTGAGCACATGAGAGTCCTGCTCTCTTTCTTTACTCCCACCCTCAAATAAGAAGAACATGGAGCTGTTAGTCCACGGGTGTGTCTGAAACCAAGAAAAAAAGTGCTGCCTACTGAGGCGGAAAGGCCAGTAGAGTGTAGTGCCCTAATCCACAGCTGTGAGCGGGCCACATTTCTCACAACAATTCTTAATATTTCTGTTGCATTATCTTCTATATAAGCTGATCCACAAAATATAAACATATGAATCATTTAAACAATGTGAAATGTTTTTTTTTTGTTTGTTTTTAATCAACACAAGAAACATTTATTCCAACTAACACATATACGCTACAGAGTTAAGCTACAGCTAAGCAATATCGCGTGTGCAAGATTCAGCCGCAGGTAATCACCGCCGCGCTGATATTCAGTCAGTACAGCAGCATGGCTGCGAGTGTGATCCTGCTTTTATACAACAGCTCTATAAACAAGAAATTAATATCGACTAACTGACATTTCAGACACAATATGGTCAAATATTTTGCAAATGATTTTTGCTCCATTAAAGAAAATAGTTCCTAGAAAAAAGCTAGCTTATTAAAGCTGGATAGATTATTGCGTGTTGCCATGCCAACGCACACACTGACTGACAGCTCGTAGTAAATGTAGTAACGGTTTCAGTGTAAAGAACAATTGCTAGAACTGAAAATTTGTGTAGCAAATGCAAATAAGCGGAGTGATGCAAACAGTGAAATGTACCAGTGCCGTTATACTAAAAAAGAACTCTGTTCTTGGAACGGTGCTTGTCCAATAATATCAGTGGACTGGAATTAACTGTTGTATAGTAAGCCAGGAGAGATGAGGCCAAACCTGAAAAAAATGCCTGGTGTAAAAAAAAAGGCAATATGAGCATCATTTAAGTGAACAATAACCCAAGAAACATCTCCAGTTACAGATCATCCATGCCATCCTTGGAAGTGTGAACCAACAGAAAACAAGAAAGCAGGATGTCATGTCTTCGTTCTGAAAAAAAGAAAGAATGTAAAGAAAGTAAAACGGAGGAGGGCGGGACATTGTTGCAGTGAGTTGCGTTGCCGTGTCACACCTCCGGGGGCCCTGTTTCGTCCTCCCTCTGTCCCTTAGAAGTGGAAAATGGCGAGTAAAGTTAGCTCAAATGACTGCAACGTGACAATAATTACCGTCAGTACTGCTTTGTTTTTATGTAAGACACTTGTCTCTCATCCAAAAACACTGTCTTCTGAAACACTGACTTATTACACATCACGGAAAGCTTCCTTCTGTTCTAAACACACCCTACATTCAAAATGCATGCAGTGCAAATATCTAACCCCCCCCCCAACACACACACACACACACACACACACACACAGACACCACACACACACACCTTTGCCTACGCCTTACAAACTGAACGGGAATGTTTCGTTAACCAGTCACAGTTGACTTAGCATGAATCTAGCTGGATTTATGCTAGCCTGTATTTCAGATATTATTATTCTTTAAAATGTCAGGAGTAATTTACCTCATATGCTACAATGAGGAAAATGTCAAGTTGTATGATGGACTGTTGCTTTTATTATACTTGGCAATAGTTTGCTAGCTAATATTTGTAGTTAGCATTATCTGCAGTCATGTCCACTCAAAATTACATAAGATTCTTGGCATCAAACCTGATGGTCCGTTCAGTGGCACACTGTTTTGGGGCTGCGCTACAAAATGGCTGCCATCCACATGCTGTTTGGATCACACTCAAATATCTCATGTCCAATTTACAGTGAATCAGAGCAAAATTTCAGAATTTCAGCCTCTGAGCTTCAGTGACCTACAGCCCTTTTATGGCATCATAACAGTTATATGTGGCAAGTAGGTGCTATGGTTTGTGTTATCTGGTTTTAGTTGTACAAAAAGTTTCCAAAAAGGAAAAAGAAAGTTATAACAAATAAGATCAGCTGTCGAAATACAAGGACATACAATAGTTCCTAATCCGAACCAGACCTGTTAACAACACTAAAAGCTTCAGCCTTTAGTCCGGACATGTTTTCAGATTTCTGGAGGAGTTACAACCATTTCCATGGATTGTGGAGCTTTACTGATCCACACAAATTTTTAACTGGAGACATGTGGTGCGTGAGAAGAGCCATCCTTTGAACATGGGTTTGGAAACAGCACGAACCAAAACCAATGAATTAACAAAACATGGAAGTCTTGAAATTTAAAGCCTTCGACTTCATCAAAGAAATGCCTCGGTGATATGGTGGAACAATACAACAAATGTTCAGCCTAATATCATGAATTTCAGGAAATTTCAGTATCGCCTATCATCTTTATATTTTCAGCGAGGATGTCATTCAAAAAATCTGTATAATTTCTGCAGCAGCAGTGCAGACAATAAATTATTATTTGGTAAAGGCAAGCGATTATATTTCAAAAGCTGTACTTAGCTTTCAGTATTTTGTAAAAGGAAAAAAAAAACAATGTTTAAATTGAGTTTTTGCTGATTTGCAAATGTTGTGCAAATGTTCTTTTTGAAGTATGTGACTGCATGAGCACTTGAATTCTCAATTCGGATTGGTCAGATTAATTTCATTTTCTGCAATCGCACAGCTCTGACATTAGTGCCAGCTGCAAGGCAAAACATATAGGTTTATATTAATTAAGGAGTAAAACACACTTGGGGGAGTGCTGTTATAGGAAAATAATCAACAACACAGTGGTGTAATGTGACCCAATAAAAACTGATGTTACTGTTAGAAGAAGAACAGAAACCTTTGCTTATCACATACATTATGTACATTATAGTGAAACTCTTCTCATGTCCCAGAGATGATACAGCACTCTGGGGCAGATAGCAGCAGCAGGGGGAGTTTGAACCCCCAACCTTCTGCCCAGTAACCCAGTACCCTAAAACCACTGACCCACCACTGCCCATACCATGCTGTTTGTGATTATTTTCCAATAACAACATGTCTTGAAGTGTTTCAAAACCATCATATTTTTCCATTTATAGTTACACTTAGTGTTGTGAAACTTACAACGTGCAGGGTTGATAGGCAGGACCCAAGTATGTGAAATCAGCGAACATGGGAACACAGAAACTAGAAAATAAGGCTCGGAGTTAACGGGCATGGCACGATAAGACTTCAAGCCAAGACTAGGACACACAAGGATATAAATGCGCAGACTAATCAGGAATGAACTAAATACATATGAGTACAATCAAGACAAAATTTGGAGACAGATCAATGACAAGACAAGGGGCACAGACAGGACTCGGAACATAACGAAAGGCACATGGTCAGTGATCAAACCGAAACAAAATACGGAAGCACTGTTTGCACTGGGAGCCGCAGCGTGCGCTGAGGGGGATTACATGGCAGAAACAAGTTAGTTCCTGTTATGTCTTTTGTAACAGCAGCCATTCCCTCACCAGTTCAACTACTGGCATGTTTTTGGGAGGTGGGAGGAAACTGCAGAACCCAGAGGAAACCCATGCAAACACAGGGAGAAGTTATACAGACACTCTGCACAGACACTAAGCTGAGATCAGGATCAGGTTGTGAGCCGGCAACGCTGCCCACTAAGCCACTGTGCTGTCCAAATAATTTTACAGACAAATATAAATAATATATTCTGACAGACTGTGGATCGAAAAAATGGTTAAAGAAGACCAGGGAACAAAATACTGAAAAAAAAACCCAGTCAAGTTCAAGTGGTGCATGTTATATTGTCACTGCCATTTACCTGATTAAAGACAAATCAGAGTAAAAAAAAATAAAAAATCAGCATGTACAAAACTGTCATCACTTCTGGTTTGAAGGCCTCTGCTTGTTTTACATCAGTGTGCATTTAAAAGCCTCTCATGGTAATGGGTTTATATTAATTATTGTATTAAGTCTTGCTATTCTTGCACTTCTGCTTCATCTTTTCTGTTCATTTTTCTGTGGTAGTTGTGATGCATTTGATTACTGATGTAATGATTTTGTACAGTAACTGGCCACCATCAGCCAGTCCCGAGAAACCCGGGTAACTGGAGCACTTCATAGCAATTAGTGGTTTTAAAGGATCAGCAAGACGACTGGCCACACTTCAATTTCAAATTACTTTGAAAAATGGTGATTTGAGAAACATTTACCCAAGAGACTGCTCACATCTCCCACATCTGCGATACAGTATAAATGTTTATTCCAAGTTTAATACTCACCTAGAGCTTTATCCTGACAGCACTTCTTTCACAGAAAGCATGTAGGATTATCCACCATAAGGTTTCAGTTTCATGCTACATAAAATAAAGATTTATAAAAGAAAATAACCAGCACCTCTGTGCAAGACACACTGTTTGGCATGAACCGTAATGTTTCTTTTTGTTATAAGTAAATGCTTCATTTGGGTTTTATTACAGGATCATCTGAATAATGGTCTGAATAATGGAATAACTGTGCATCGAATTAACTGTGCCTGGCCAAACACCACAGGCTTTTTAATGAGAAAATGTAAAAAAAACAGTCTGTGTTCCACAGAGCATGTAAAGTAAGGAATAAAACACATCTTTTCCAATAACAACACATCTCAGCGTGTTTTATTCCTCTTATAGCACAGCAATTTTTAAAATTCATTAATGAATAACACGTTATTCATTTTATCCATTTGTGGTTATTGTTAATGTAGCGCATCCACAAAACATGTTCCTGTTATCACTACGTTATAGAGTTACACGTTAAACAGTCGCTCCCTCAACTTCAGCCTGTCTTTTTTCTCTCTCGAAGTTAATGAGACAAAAAAAAAAAACACAGCTTTGTCATGTTACTGTAAAAACTTTCCAATGGCTGAAAACATAAAGCTAACAGCTATATCTCTGTTACAAAGCACTGACACTGGAGACTCTAATGCTATATACAACACTTTTTAAAATCTATTCATTATTCGTTGTAGATTCTGTAATACATTTATGTAAACAATAATGTATTAGAACCAGTGCATTAATACACCAATCAGCCATCACATTAAAACAACCTGCCTGATATTGTGTAGGTCCCCCTCGTGCCGCTAAAACAGCTCTGACCCGTCGAGCCATGGACTCCACAAGACCTCTGAAGGTGTGCTGTGGTATCTGCCAACAAGACGTTAGCAGCAGATCCTTCAAGTCCTGGAAGTTGCGAGGTGAGGCCTCCATGGATCGGACTTGTTTGTCAGGCACATCACACAGATGCTCGATCTGAGATCTGGCTAATTTGGAGGCCAAGTCAACACCTTGAACTCTCTGTCATGTTCCTCAGACCATTCTTGAACAATTTTTGCAGTGTGGCAGGGCGCATTATCCTGCTGAAAGAGGCCACTGCCATTTTTGGTAAGTAAGAACGGTTGGATTGAGTCAGTTTTATTAAACAGACCACCATTGCAACACACTGTTTGTAAGTGTAATGGGCTGACACGCTGTAGAGATTTAATCATAGCCATGCTTCTGTGCTATTAGGTAATAAATGATCAAATACATCACACCTATTATTTTCCATATGTACAGTACCAGTCAAAAGTATACACAAAGACACACACACACACACACGCATATATATATATATATATATATATATATATATTTCATTTTCTTAATGATTTTTGGTAAAGGCTTATCACAAATGCAAATACATTTATTTCTGAGTCCAAATGTATTTTAATAAGTAAGTTTTACTTCAAATGAAATGGTTTCCCTGTTTACTTTTCATTCAGAGCTTTAGGGAAGTTTAACAAAAGGTTATGTTTAAGAAAAAGGTCTCCTTGGGGGAAACTCCATCATGATGCTGGTTGAGAAGATGCCAAGAGTGTGTAAACCTTCATCAGGAAAACTGTTGCAAATGTAAATTATAAAATTAGTTTTGATTTGAAAAGATGAACACTTTTCTTTGTCAGTGCATAATTCCATATGTGTTATTTCATAGTATTAATATCTTCAATATCATCCTAAAATACCTAGAAAAGAGTAAAAATAAAAAAATATATATGATCATATTATATTCTGTAATTAATTATGTAATATATTATTGTTATTTATTATTATAATGATGTAATAATAATGGTTTATAGTGATCACTGGATATCACATATACAGTAATTAATGTACAGTATAATGAAATATAATTAGTAATAACATTGTACAGATTAAAGACTATTAGAGAAGAAAGGCTTAGGACAAAGGCTAATTTAGGTCAACCATGCAGGACTCTCAGTGCCTCTCAGAGCCAAAGAACAGATGGTGCTCATGCATTAGAAGAATAGTTTGGCCAAAAATAAAATTCAAACAACATTCCCACTACCCCAAATGTAATAGATCAGCCATGACATGCCTGGATTCTGAAATTTAGTTTTGTCTGGAGCTTCAAGGACAGTGTAAATAATAATCTAGGAGAGCTTAGAGCTACCAGTTTAGCACTGTTTGGCATACAACTACCAGTTTAGCATTGTGCAACTGGCATCACAAAGTCATCACACCTTGTTTAAAAGACATTGTTTGATTTACTGTTACCATTTGTACATAATCAGGTTAATAAAGTCATAGAACTAGTCTTAATTTAAAAAAAAAAAGTTCAATAAGCAAACTTTATTTAGATATAAAAACCTCATTCTGAAACTGCTGAGCTGTGTTCACTAGCTGCACATCGCCTCCTCTAAACTCTTCAGTGGTGTAGCAACATCCATTTTACCAAATATCTGAGTGTTTTGGGTCGTTGTCCTGCCAAGTTCTGTGAGGTTTGTTCTCTTAGCAGTGTCTCTTGACAATTTAATGATTGACTGATGGAGCTTTAATAGGCTTTCTTTGTCCAGCTAGACTGACACTGGTTGCAGTTACTTTCTTTCATCTTTATAGCCAGCATTTCTCTTGTAACTCTATTAATCTGAGGCGTAGCCAGTGCTCTAACTCTGGATCTCCATCACCATGGCTCCAAAAGCATTCCCCTCCATCCAGCCATGATGTGATGTGATATGCATGATGGTGCAACAGAGGCCACGTTCACTTTACATGCTTCTTTGCACAGTTCAGATTGTTTGCTCAGATCAGATCTGTCTATGTTGACAGTTTACATGCATAACCACAAGTGACCCATATCTTCCTCATTCATGTCTCATGTCCACTTATCGGATATGTATCCAATCTAGGACGATGTCCAAAAGTGACTCGAGTCTGATTTGAAAAGATTGGATTTCTGTGTCCACACAGTCCTGAAAAAAAAAAAATCAGATCTGTGTCACATTAAGGCAGAAAACTGGATTTTATCACTTGAATGTAGCCAGACTCGTCATTTGAAGTCAGGAAACACAGAAGGCTTAAAAAAACCTGCTTGATAGCAAAGCAGCAGATGGACTTGTTTTTGACCTGGAGCTTGAAGGCTAATGTGGCTAATAATTAAATAAAAGCTTATAGCTACCAGTTTAGCACTGTGAAAATGGCATCACAAAATCATCACACATATGACTCCAAAGACATTGACTTTTTGATAACATTTGTACATAATCAGATGAATAAAATTGAAGAACTAGTCTCCATTTAAAAAAAAAAAGTAGATAATTATTTAGATAAAAAACCTTGTTTTTCATTCTGAAACTGCTGAGGTGTGTTCACTAGCTGCACATTGCCTCTTCTGAACTCATCAGTGACATAGCAACATCCATTTTACCAAATGATTAAGTGTTTTGGGTCCTTGTCCTGCCAAGCTCTGTAAATAATAAAAATGCCTTTATGGTTTGTTCTCTTAGCTGTGTCCCTTGCTGATTTACTAATGGAATGATGATGCTTTAATAACCTTTCTTTGGCCAAATAGGCTGACAATGGTTATGTTTAGTTTCTTTCACTTTGATAGCCTGTGTTCCTGTTTTAACTCTCTTAATCTGAAGCCTAGCAAAGTGCCAATGCTCTAACTTTTGCTCTCCATCAC